GGGGGCGTGGTCTCGGGGGCGTGGTCTCGGGGGCGGGGCCTCTCCCGCCACCACCTCCCGCCGCGGGGTCCGGCGGTGGCCCCGGGTTTGGGGACGGGGTCGTGTGTCCCCAGGAGTGACGCTTCCCGCCACCGTCACGGGTGCAGCGTGGGTGCTGGTGGTGGGGTGGCCCCACGGGGCTGGGGGCACCCGGCTCCAGGGACTGCGACCCCCCCCACCCTCCGCCCCCGTGCTGCCTGGGCTGAGAACAGAGGGTCTCAGGGCTGGGGGGGGACACGTGACCCCAGTTTAGGGGTTGAGGTGATGGGCTGCGCAGTCCCAGTGGGGCACTGGGCCAGCAGGTCTGGCCAGGGCTCAGCTGGTTCCCCCCCCTGAGAAGCTCAGACAGGTCAAGGTTTGCAGAAAGGGGGTCGATCGCTGCTGAGCATCTCCCAGAGGCCCTGCGCGGGGAGGGGGGAACGTGCCCACTCTGCCCACCGGTGAGAGGCCACCCGGGGCTGGGGGGCTGTGAGCTGCAGCGCTGGGCTGGGAGCAGGGCAGGCTGTCCGCTGTGTATGCTGGGGTTTGAGCCCCAACGCTCTGTCCTGTGGGTGGGTAGAGCTCCCAAACGCTCTGAAAGAGAAATGTCGAGTTGTTTGGAAAGCAAACAGAAAGGCTGGAGAGATGGCTGTTACCTGACGAATGCAATAGCCTCTCCATAGTCAGGTGAGTCTGCGGCTTTTAGTGCTTTTTATCTCTGAAATGAAAGTAAGATCTTGATAAAACACACAAGCACTTTGGTCTTCCCAGAACCGCTCCCTTCTCTCCAAGGATGGGGCGTGGGAAACGTGGGCTGGCCTCAGCCCAAACCCAAAGACAGCTCTGGCAACCCCGAGCCTTGTGCTGGGGACAATTTAGGATTGGTGGTGAAACAGGGACCTGACTGTGAGCGGGAGAATGCGGATCCAGGTGAGACCCATGATGGAAGTAGCTGCCATGTGGCCCACCCCATCCCCAGGACTTCAGGCCCTGCAGCGATCCCTAGGCTGGGACGCAGGCCAGTGCTGCAGCCACAGTTCTTCACAGGGACACGCCACAGAGACGTGGCCGTGAAGCCAGAGCTGCTCTGAGCCGACCAGGCCGGACGTCCCTGCATGCCATGGAGGTCCCCAGCTAGTGCTGCTCTCCCTCGGTGCGAGCTGTGAACCACCACCCTGCCAGGCTGAGCTTTGATCTTTGAGGGGCTTAAAACTGTCTGTGATATTTCAGTAATAACATCAGTTCAGGATTTGGCCCTTAAGCCTGTATTTTCTGGGCTGGGTCTTGCAGAGCATGTGTCACCTAAGGACTACCACACCTGGGGAATGGGGAGAGCTGGTAAGAAGAGGCAGCTCACCAGCGGCTTGCTTCTCCAGTGCTCTCACACAATGAAGGGCATTTTTTTTCTTTTAAAAAAGGAACTTGTCCCGCTTCACATCCTGCCTGCCAGGAACCGCATCGTCTCCTCCACCAAATCCTCTAGCCTCCCCCTGGCTTCGTACAGACCAGTTTCCTGCAGGGAGCCCCAGCGGACACCGGGGATGCAGGAGAAGGCAGCTATTCACAGGTACCACCTAATTAAAAGGGAAAGAGCAGGTCCAGTTTCTCTTTTTAATGATGTGTGGGGCTGGGGGGAAGCAGCAATTCCCTCTCTGGTCCCTAATTGCCTTGAGCTTGGGTGGGGAGACAGGAGTTGCCCTTTCCCTCAGCTGCCAGGGCAGGAGCTTGAAGAAAAACATCTCAAGCATCTTTCCAGTCCTACTTTTCTGCTTACGCGTTCTTGTCCCCCCTTACGGATGGTGTCATTATCCCTGCAGCACTGCCAGGCTTTTTGCCCTGTTTGGAGAGCGAGGCAGCACCCACCCTCCCATGGGTCAGGAGGAGGATGGTGAGGCAGCATGAGGCTGTTTGGGGGTCCCTCCCCAGGAGAAGGAGGACATGGCCCTTGTTGGAGGACATTTGGGGCTGAGAGCAGGTCCCCCTGCCCATCCACAAATGCAGCTGCTACTCGGGGTGCAGAGAAGTGAGTGGGTGGCCCTGTTGTCTGAGCTGGTCATGTGTAGAGCAGAGCATGGCAAAGGGTCAAGCAGGTCCTGCCTTTTCTTCTGCCTGCTCTGCAGAAATCCTGCCTGCGAAGCAGGGTTGTCCCCATGCACTGGCAGTGACCCCTGGTCCCCCTTCTTTCTCCTTTCCTGGTCACCCCAGGCTCTACCTGGTCATGGCAGCAGCCTCTTTTGGTGGCCCATGGGTGTCCCTGGCGTGTGCTGGTGGCCATTCCCGGCAGTGGGTGTTGTCTCTGCAGGAGCTCACACCCATCACGCAAGCGTTGCACCCTGGCACGGGGCTGCTGAGCACCCAGACAGGGGAGCTGGAGGTTGAAGGTGGTTTTTGCGCAGGAAAAGTTGTCCAGCAAGGGCCGGCAGTGCTGCAGCAGCGATGCTGGGGAGCCCCTGGCCCACCCTGCCCTCCCTGCCCCACGTTTCTCCTAGAGCAGACACTTGTTTTGGGGGTGACAGCTGCCTGCAGGGTCAGTACTGGCTCTCTCCTTGGTCCTCAGGCTGATGTTTGTGCACCATGGCTTTCCTCCCGACCCTTGCTCTCTGGACCCGTCACTGCAGCCTGGCTGGGTGGACATCGCACGTAACCCACGAGTGGTTTTGAGTGGGTCTCCTCCACAAGCCTCCCTTCGCCTATGCTTGCTTTGCCATGACGTGAGCGTAGGAAGACTTAATCTCAGCACTTTGGTATCCCCAAGCCCGATTTTATCCTTAGGCGTGCACAAATGTCCCTGCAGCACCAGCCAGGCATGTCAGGCTCCTCCAGGCTGCTGCTCTACCCAGCACGTGGAGGAGCCGTGTGACCAGCTATCATGACCTCCCAAACATGGGAAAGTGGGTAACTACTCACCTTATCTGCTTTTACTGCTTTTGTAAAAGACTTCACCAAGATTTGAATAATGCAAGCTCCCTAAAAAATGTCTTTGGATCACTGATTTAATCACTTGCTCGCTGCATGAGTGTCTCCAGTGGACTGTGATGTATGAAGGGAGAGGATCGGGGGGAGTGTGTGTGGAGGAGGCTGGCTGTTTCCTTGGCATCTTCTGGGCAGGAAAAAGGATTTTTGCTCTCGCTCTTTTAGCAGAAAGGCAGCACTGATGCTGTTTGGGGGGCTGCAGCCCCCCCTGTTCCCCATCTCCAGTTGACCCGCACTGGAGCCTGCTCGGAACAAAGCTGCAGGAGCAGGGCGACGGAGGTGGGACCCAATGCGGATGAGAGACATAGAGGGGGATGCTGAAGGGCTGAGGACTGATTTATTACCAGAGGTCCCAGCCAAAGCCTTTCAGCTTGGGCCACTCATTGACCTCTAGTGCCACTCTCATCTTTACCACCCTTTGCTGTCCTCCACTCTTTCTGTGGGAAGGGGCTGCTGAACTCCCGCTGACTTGCCTTGCAGGAACCTGGGTGGGGAAGACGCTGCCTCTTCCACCTCCGTGCTGTGTCAGAATGCTCCTGAGACAAGGGCATCTTCTAGCCAAAAGCATCTGCCAAGTCCATGAGTGGTTTTTCCCCTTTTCTGCCAGCTCGGTGCGTGACCCGGTGCCCAGAGCGGGTGAGGGGCGGGCACTGCTCAGCTCAGCACTAGTGCACGCACCATCCCTGCCCCGGCAAGTAGCTGTTGCCACAGGCGAGATGCCTTTGTTGGAGTTGGGAAAGGGCACTGAGCTAGGAGAGAGATGACTATTCATTTCTAAAAAATCCAGTGAAAAACGAACCCTCCTGGTTGTGCTTCTCATTAAAAAGGCTCAGGACCTTCAGAGCCAGGTGGAAGGAGAAGAGCTAGAAAAGGCGCATCTGTGGCACAGATGACTTGCAAAACCTTGCCCTGGTCTCAGGCAGCTATTCCGCCTGCTTCTGGTGTTGGAGGGCTGCATGCGCTGGGGGCTTGCTGGCACTCCCCATGCAAGGGGCAGCGTTTACCTGTCGGAGCAGCCAGCCAGGCAGGGTGGAGGGGGGCAGAGCTGGCCAAGCTCCTGCTTTTGGTGGAGATGAGCTGGAAGAGCCAAATGCTTTTGCCATGTGGGGCATGGATGTACGTGCAGAAGCAACCTGGGTTACCGCTCAGCCGTGTGCTGTGATCGTGGGCCATGCGCTGCTCCGTCGGATGGGGCAAGGGCACGCGTGGGCTCTGCTGCTGCGCAGGGGGAAGCCTGGAGCTACAAGAACTTGGTAACTTGGGGCTGCTCTCTGTGCTTTGGAGATAAGCTTGCAGAGCAGCCAAGCCTGTGAGTGAGGGCAGGACCAGAATTGGAACTGTGCAAAGAAAATTGGGTGGGAGCCAGACAAAAAAAAAAGCCTTCTGATACTGGCTGAGGAGTTGTTTTTCACTTCTAATGTTTCCTGGTCTGTGCACTAGGAGAGCCAGGTCAGCTGAGCCTGGAAGTTTGTTTCCTCAGCACTCAGTGGTGCAGAGCAAGTGCAGGAGAGCAGGAGAAGGTGTTTTGCTGGGCTCTTGCCAGTGTTGTTGGCGAGGCCCTGGGGTGGGGGAAACCAGGCAGCGAGCACCTGCATGGAGATGCGAGATGTGTGCCTGGGATTTTCCAGTCTGTCCCCTGGATTTGCTTCAGCTTTTTCAGGCAGGATGGTTGAATGTGCAATTTAGTCATAGTATTTTCCCATGTATTACCACGGTGATGGTGCGTGCAGGATCTGTTGGGTTAGCCTAGACTGGACCCCTCTTGAGCTGGGTTAGCGACAGGGCATTCCTCCCTGGTTCGCATCTTGTGGAGCAGAGCTGCAGTGCTAGGTCTCAGCTTCCCGAGGCTGTTCCTTTAAGGCAAGCCACAGCCTGGCGTCGTTTGCTCCAGCAGCTGATGATTTCTAACATGTGTTGGCTACATGATCTTCAGTCAGGAAACAGC